TCACTGAGTACAATGGATGGTACTGACGTTCTCTTTTGGGAACCTACGTTGGTCTGCGGTACAGCGTAGGAACCGGTTTGCAGGCGAGCAGGCTACGAGTTAGGACTTCCTTCTCTTCCAGTGCTATTGGTGAGCTCCGCTTTTGTTCGTGGCGTATTCCTTAGAGTCATCTTTATTTAGTTATTTCTTTGTTACTTAGAGAACTGGCCAGGAAATCTCATGTCCTGAGCAGTGCGTCAGGCTTCATAGACATAGTCAATGGGGTAAGATTCAAATTTTTTTATAATAACTTAGCATAAATTTAGTAGTTATTATGAATAAAGTTTTGGAGTTGATTTATTTAAATATTTACATTAATCAAAAGTATTTGGTTGGAGTATTGCCTTGTTGCATATAAAGTTTGGAGTTATAATAGATTTGATAAGCAGAGATGGTTCGCTCGGTCATGTTTAGTGATCGAGTGTCGGTCCCGACTTGTTCAGAAAATGGGTCGTGGCACCAAGAAAGGGCCGCACCTCAAGGAGTGTAATGTAGATAATCTATACTAATGCAAGCATTAGTGGCTGCTTCCCCGGCTCAAATCCGTGATCTATAGGTCACACGGAGACAACTTTACCGTTGCTCCAAGGTTCCATTCTCAAGTTCAAATCAAAATTAATGAAAGTTTCGACCGGGGAAAAGTATAAGAATCCTTGCCTAGGCAACTGACAAGTCAACTGCATAGTTGGTAATCCACATGAAAAGACCTACTTTTTGAAGATAAAGCACATTGAATCAAGAAACTAAAACATACCCTGGTTTAACATTTCCACTGAGAACAAGATATGGTGTTTTAGATTGAGCCTGAGCTTCTCTCATCCTCTCCACAGACAGTGATGGCGTATCTGAATTTTTCATCTGTTTTATCTTCAGCTCCTCCTGGTATTGCCGCATACGCTTTTCTTGCTTCATCTTTCCTGGCCCCTTCCCATGAAATTTATGTGAAAGCAACCGAAAAGCCTCCTTTGGAGTCAGCTGAAAAAAGAGAAGCCACGTATTAGTTGAGTAAGAAATAAGGCTACATTAGCCAAAACTCACAGAACCAGATCAAATAGGTAATTCTCAGTCCCCTCGCCTTTTTTTTAGTTTTTCCGATTTGGCAAGTATCATTCCAGTCAGTTTATTATATTGAAATTAAGAGAACTCACTCTCTCTCTCTCACACACACACACACGCACACACTCAATTTCCAATCTAGTTAGGCTTTCAAAACAATTGACATAGGGGTGCACAAGTTTCACACCAATAACGGACACAGTAGTCGTACAGCAACAAGCTTACCCAATAACCTTAATTTCAAACACTTTGAGATGTGACACATATCTACTGCCATCCTTATCTTCTGCTACTCAGAAATACCCTCCATGTCATTATATGTCCACGGAGCAGTACTATAAGACCAAAGTTGGAGTTTTATGTTTGCAAAAAGATGGTTACCTCGATTTTATGTTCACTTCAAAAAAAATACTGTGGGAATCACTTACCAAATGAATAAAAAAATAAATCTCGTAACCTTATCAGTAATAAGATTCACACTATTGAAAACTGTAGAACAAAGATTTCCCTCTCGAGAAGGTACAGACATCTTTGGATAGGAAAGTGTGGGACAGCAGGAAGCAAGGAGCTTTTTCAATTACAAAAAGAAGGATGGCGAGTGACAGCCTGACAGGTGCCATAGAATGTGTGAAAAAAGATATAACTGAATAAACAGAATACTAGTCCAAGGGGTTAACAGCACAAAACTACTGGTGAATAAAAATTAGAGAATCCAAAAACTGATAATCAAGTAAAAGTACTTACAATTCGCCCATACTCATCAGTCCTTTCAATGCGTATTTCTTTTTTCCCATCCTCACCACGTATGCCTACGAGCTTGCTTTTCTTCTTGTCCATGTTTCGACCACCCCATTCAATATCTTCCTTCAGTGTACCTCGTTCTTGCAAAAGTTTGAGAGCCCCTGATAAACCCTTTCCAACTGGAACTTCATGTATCGTCGCATCTGGAGTTACTTCCATTTCCTCCTCCTTTACAGAGGGTTCCTCTTCCTCGGTTTCCTTCACCTCAGTCCAACCACCATCCTCAGTCTTCATTTCTTCATCAGAGGGTTTTGGGAGCACCTCTTCCTCCATGAAGACATCATCACTACCAGGTTTTTGTTCTTCTACAAAAATCAAAGCAGCATAACGTCAGAAACATCACCCTTGAAAGCCTTTGCCGAGTTCCAGTAATGACCAAAGTGTAAGGTGCAGCTAATTGATAAAACATAAAGCAAAAATGCAACATTAACACGTGAAAAAAGCTCACATGCTTAACAGGCATGTTGTCTCATTCCAATTTTACCAGATGTTCCTGCAGCGACTAAAAACATGTGCTGTGTAGAAAATGGGAATCTCTCTTTCCTCGGAATCAATTCCAATCAGAAACGAGCATTTTTCTAAATAACTTTTTTTATGACCTCGTTTTGTTAAGAACTTATAACAAGGCTAATTCATAATGCTCTTGTCATAAAAAAATCACGCCCATAGGCAGACATGTAAGGAAAAATGAAATACCCATAAAAAACAACACTGCTTCTATTCACTAAATCGTCAATAAATTAGAGAGAAGATTAATATGCTATAACCTCTGAATATTTGCATTCTTTCTTAATCAAACATAACAGAAATAGGGATGAAAAGGAAGAGTGATTCAATTGTAAAATGTTTGTTTCAATAAAACTGGAGACTCAATTCTAATACGTTTCAGGATTTTGTTTCAATATATCTGGAGACTCAATTGTTTGAAAGATATATCTGGAGACTCAATCGTAATATGTTTTCAGAAATTAGTTCGATAATACCCTCTATATCACTCTCCATACCTCACCAGGAAAAGTGCCAGCACACAAACCTATTCCAAAACATGCAATTGAGTAAACCTTGCCACATCCCTTGAGAAAATAAAATGCCAATTAGCACAAGAAGTCGAACAAAACTAAAAGTTCTTACCTTCATCAAGCTGAAGACCCCAGACAAACTCTTCCATCTCTGTGAAGACAACCTTGTTCTCTTGTGGCTCTCCAGATACAGAACTTGGATTATCCATGGTTGAATCATTTGCACGGGAAATGGCAAGTGAAGCAATGGACTCTGGAAAGGTTTTGGCGAGGCCCTCTTGCTTTTTCAAAGCAAGCTTTCTGGCTCTTTCTAAGGATTTTCTAAGCTCCTCCTCATCATCATCAAATACAATATCATCTTCCTCTCTCTGGTTGTTATTAGTCTTCTCGGGTCGAAGTGCTTTAGATGCCTCTTCAGCCTTGGCATAAGCAGCCTGGTAAGACTTGCTCTTTGTCTCTGCCTCTGCTCTCTCCATTTCCTCCCTAAGGGCCTGCCTTGTCTTATTGTTGCGAGAACCAAGATCACCAACACCCAATCCAGAGGATCTGGCCTCCGCTTCAAGGGCATCTAGGTCCATCTTCTCTTTCTTCCTCAGTGATTTCTTCTTCTTGGGCTTCTTAAATTGAAGCATCTCCTCTTGAGTGTAGTAGTCAGACAATAATTTCCCAGAAGAATTGAGATCTTCAGCCAGAGTTTTTGAGGAAGACCCCTGAATCCTTTTCCGGAGCTGGCAATCAAAAAAAGGTAACTTCATTTAACAAACATACTCCGACATACACTCCAAAAACCATTCATGATTAAATAGATAAAAATTAGTTACCTCCTCCAGTTTCTTCTCTGCATCAACACTGAATCCTCCAGTTGCATCAAGAGTAACACCCTAAAAGAAAAGCTAGGGTAAGAAAGAAAGATTGGATGTACAATTCCGCACTTCTCAAACTGAGGACAAAGTGCTTTAAAAAAAGTTTCAGATAAACAATATTATCTAAGAAGTAAAGAGAAAAGGAAACAAAGAGTTCAACCTCCTCTTCAGTCGGGTCATCATATTGTGGTAATATTTTCCTTTCAAAACCAGGGTCGTCATTGAACCTAAATCCAATAAGAAAGAGATAAATTAGTCATTCAAAACTTGTGTACAAAGCAAGTGTATACAGCAATATTAAATCTTACTTGTCATCGTAGATCCCTGTTTTCTTTTTTGCAGCCTTGTAAGCGTCATCCCTCTTCTTCTGTTCTCCAATTTCCACATTTTCAAGCACATCAACCTCTGGGGTATACAATTCAAGTCACTACAAAATCCGAATCCACAGATACTGAAGACCGAAAGAAGAGACAAAAGAAGAAAGGGAAAACACGAACAATATAACTTGATTGGTTACCTTGATTAATATCATCACCAGCAAGTATGCTCTGATCTTTGAGTGTCAAGACAACTGCCCCACCTTCAACTACTTTGTCAAGCCCATGCAGTACTTTCATCCCACCTAGCTCTTCTGTAGAGATATACAGACAAACTTCAGAGCATTCTTCAACTATTTTCTCAGAGAATATAATATAGCTAAATTTAATTTCCGTCCACAACTGCACAAAAAGCACATCATATTTCACGAAAGGATAATCTTGGCTACTTTCATTTCCCCAATGATGACTTTAAAACTTTTATTTCACATGCTACACCAGTTTGATTAGAGTTGGATGACAAAGGGGACCTCACCAACAATTTTCGTATCATAGGCAGGAGTAGAAGTGAAATCAAACAGACTACGAATGAAAAGCGCAGAAAAGGGAAGATTAGGACCCAAGAAGAAAGGTAAAAACCTGCACAAGACAAATGCACTAAACATATTACTCATTTCCTTGGAGTTCCGAAGACTAAGCAATATATAATGACCTCGATTGACTTCAGATGATCTCCTACCACAATTGATTAGAAAGATTAACCAACAGATATATTTAGAAAGAGGAGCCATACTTGCAGCTAGCCGAGCTTTCTCCTCGTCATCGCTTTCTTCGTCATTCATTTTGTCCTGCAAAAATGATACCATAATAAATCATGAAGACCTGAGGTCACATCAATCCAATTTCTACAGAGAAAGAATCACAGGCACATCAGCAGACAACCTACCTGCTCTTCAAAAATCTTTGAAAGCTGCAACGCTCTCTCTTTCTCAGCATTCCTTTTCTCCTCAATCTTACGGCTCTTGCTAACCCATGTCATCACCTCAGAAGCACCTTCTGATTTTTTCTTCAACCTCTCTTCCTTCATCCTGCAGTCATAAACATTTCTTCAGATTATGGCTATCAAGTTAACAAAATCACTCGTCAAACTACATCCAGATTTTACTGTGTGAATACACCCTTCTAGAATGCCGTGCAGCTAGAAAGTAGCAACCAATTGTGCACATACAGTTAACCTTATTAAATTACCAAAAAGGCACTGTAGACATCATAGAAGCCGCATATCATAGCTACAAACCATGTGCATGCTTAGGATAGATGATAAAACAATATTAGGAGCAAAATAAATACATATGGATAACCACAAACAGAATGGTGACAATCACAGATTAAATTATTTAATTGGCACCATCATCTTCACCTCTCTCTGTCTCTGGTTTGTGTCTCATTAAACTTACATAGTTAATGTTAATAACATCAGCACCACCACATGGGTGAATATCATCATTATCAATCAGGATAATTGTTATCATGCATATCATCATTTTCTTTAGTATCTAATTCAACAGGGTAGAATCAAAGTGGATCGTGTTATTTATTTAATTTAAACCTTTTATGTTCTTAATTAGAACAGACTGCAATTAATGGCTTTTGGAAATGTTATGTTTGCTTTAACAGCTTATCATCTAGTCTCATAGTAGTCTTACCTACACTCTCTCTTTCTCAATCCCCTTCCCCCTCAGTTAATTGATTTTGAAATGTTATTTTTAAATTTTTAATACTATAAGCTACCATCAAGTATCAAACTAGTTTAGTAATTTTACCTGAGCTTTTTCTGGTTTCCAGTTTTTTCCCAATTTTAGTCAGTTACTCCATCTTCATGGAAAAGAAGAAACCAAGGGGTACTATATGATTCAACTGATGAATAAGTCTTGACTTCTAACTCCATTCATTTATTTTTAATAACTACTTCTAAGCCCAATCATATGATTTAGGATTTCCATTATTTGGTCTGACCAAGTGGGCAAGGATATCAAAAGAAATAGTACAAATTAGAGAGAACTAAAATGGCAGTAAACTATAACGCTCCTCCTATCCACGGTCATATTTGGTCTCCTTTGGGACAAGGACTTCTAGAAAATATCTGGGAAGGCCCAAAATAAAGGACTCAGCCATAGCTGTTGGTAGCCTCTTTTTTTTTAGTCTCTAGAGAATTCTAAGGTTCTTGCTTGGTATGTTTATACTGGAGATAAAAAATGAACTACAACAAGGGCTCCGACCGTACTAGTGTCACATGGCCATAGCTCAACTATTGATTTTTCGCATTTCCAATGCATGGTTCCTGATCAGGGTACCTCAATGCATTACACGAATCCTATTTGGCATCTATGCTGTCAACGAGAGAGTCAGATATCCTTCAAATCTATGGCAGACTCCTTATGAAAGGGGTAAGATCAGAGCAACCAGTATGATTTCTATCCACAACACCAAATAATGATGATAGCACCCTCTACCTGATAAGAGTAGGCTTAGACAAAATAAAGCTCCATGATTCCTACATAAAATATCTGAAAACTGTATATTATTTGTTCATTTCTTAGACCTCTTATGCACCATCTTTTTCTTAATTTCCTAGCTAAGTAGCTTTTTAATACAATAGTTACTCAATAAAAGGGGGCTGCAGCAGCCTATAATTTCAGAGGTTTTCTTCACCAGCCCACTGTTTCTAAATAACTTTACCGGAA